TTAATATTAGAGTTTCAAAAAATTTATTATCTATTTATTTAAAGATTTTTTTGGTAACTAGAGGTCCATTCAGAATTTATTACTTTCTTTATTAGAATGTATAATAGTTCAATAATTTTACTATAAACTTCTATAAAGCGTCAAAAAAAATTATAAAAATTATAAAATAACTGGATTTTACTATAATAACAATTCACTAATTAACAATTATTCTAATGTTTTTTAAAATTAAACTTAATACTATCCGAGGTTAGAATAAGACCTAAGAACTTAAATCTTTTTTATATGAAATTTATATTTATAAGAAAAATAGCCTAGAAGCCTGTAATTTAAACCCGCTTTAACACATTTTACATATAATATTTATGTTTAGGTTTGTTTTTATCAAAAGTCAAAATATTATTTACACATATAGCTATATATTCATTCATCGTATTAATAAAGATATTATTTGTTAGCTATTAGAACGTTGTAAGCTTATTAATTAAATTCAAATAGATATATTCGGACGTGGTAGAAACCCTATTTTATATTAAACATAAATAAAAAATTCCATAGATTCTTTATCAAATAGATTTTAATTGTTTCCAATTCCTTTAAAATATCAATATAGGGGGTTATACTCTAATGTATTTTTATTGATAAAAGTAATTTAAGATTCGTTTTTTTCTTGGGAATAATATATCCGATACTAATTTTAAAATTATATTTATATAGCTGTAATAGACTTTAAGAATATATTTTTCCAATTTTTAAATCTTTAATAGGCGTTTAGGGTAAAGTAGATCTTTATCAATAATTTTGTTAATTTATATTAATGAGACAATAAAAGAACTTAAATTACCTAAATATACTTGGAACATAGGACTGTTCATTCCTAAAATATTAATTTTTAAATAATTCTTTTCAATAGTTTTAAAAGATTACTTTAAGACTAATTTAAAATTATTTTAAATTACCCTAAGTGCCCAGTTTATACGGCATAGAGTTTATCCGAAATTTTTTTTAATAAATATTAAATTTATCTTTAGAAATTTATAAATTTTGATTTTAATGATTAATTTTTGCGTATTTTTGTCTTTCTAGTATTTAGAGTCAATTTTAGACGATTATAAAATCACTTCAAATAGTATAATATTATAGTACTTTTCGATATAGTAATTGGTGTATTTTTACAGTAAAAAAGAGAGCATATATATTTAATTCACCTAATCACAGTTATAATCCATATAACTTCAGTATAGATCTATTCTTTCAAAGTTCTATAACTGAATATAAGTACTTAATAACTATTCTAAGATATCTATAGATGTTTAACGTTCAATAGGGGAGGTCTTTTTAAAGGTTTTAAATTTGTAATTATAGATATTTTTAATAATAAATTTAATTTTAGACTTTAATCTAACTGATTAGTTAGTTCTTATATAACTGATTATTAAATGATTAAATGATATTTTTGAATTAAAGCCCTCTAGCTACCTTTTTTTAATTATTATAAGTAAATATATTATAAATACTTTTATAAAAGTGATATAGATTAATATATTAGTGATGGAAACATATAAATTTTTGGTTGGAATTTTTTGTAGTACTATCTGAGGGTTTATAGTAAGCCTTTTAAAAATTTAATAGGTATTTATAAAATTTACGCCATTATTCTTTTTAATATAGTTTTATATTAATAATTTGTATATTAAAAGAATCCCTAGGGATAATATTTTAAAATATATAAGAATTATAATGGTTTTAGTAAATTGTAAGATTATCTCTATAATCTATGTAGAAACGGAAGATAAATATACAGTTTTTATAGTTAAATTTACGGGTATCATTTTAGTTTTATAATTAATTGAAAATTATACGTTGCTTTATTGGCCCCTAGAGATATATATATTAAAAAATAGAGAATTTTATAAAATTAATTTTTTTAACTATGGGTTTCGGGCAAATAGTCTAAAGGATTATTAGTTTATTAGCTACAGACATATGAAAATATTTAAAAATATTATAACGGTTTTTTTAGATTTTTATATATTTAAAGATACCAAAAAAATTTAGATAATAAAATTATTTAACTAATTGGGGGAAATAAATTTTCTAATTTTTTTAATTTTTTTTAATTTACTTTAGTTTGGCCATAATATCTGTTTACATTCTATAATAGGTGTGTGTGTGTGTGTGGATTAAGCGTTATAATAAGAAAAAAAAATAATAACTAGTAATATATGTCACGGTGCAGACCTAGGGTGCCTGAGGCACCTCCTCGGCGTAGCCCGGAACGCTATATTATCCGTTCCGGGATCCGCATATCTCCCGCCTGCCTGAAGATCCTGTTGTAGCTCTTCGAGCTACGTCTTGTCTATAAGCCTGTAGATAGCTTGACCCTGTAGCAATTCAGAGATATTGTGAACTATTAGCCTGCCTGCCATTAGCTCTACTACCCCGCCAGCCCGCACCTTGACAATATACGGATTATGATACCTTTCTATAATAGTAATTTTATGGTTTAATCTATAAAGTAAGGCCTTAGACCAATATAATTAGACCTGTGGGTCGGCCCACGATTTGGCCCATTTGGCCCATTTGGCCCCTAGATATGCATAATTAATATGCAAAATATCCAAAGTTACTGGTATATTTTATAGCCGTCTCAATTTTTCGCCCTTAGCTATGGCAAATTACACAATAGATTACGACTTACTCTCGTCTAACTCAGAAATATATAACTATCTAGGTGTTAATGATTGAATGCATCCTTCTGTTCTAAGTATTAGTTTTTTGATATCTTGATGGATATAATTTTTTGTGTAGGTTTTTCAGTGTTATATAACGGAGAATAGAATGGAGAATAGTCTAATATATTTATAAAAGCTTTTTATTATATAATCTAGGCGTAGGAAGTAGGTTAAATTCATTTCAAGGTACACGCAGAAGAGTGAGAAAAAAGTTATAGATCCAATAAAAACTGGGGGGAACGCCTTTGCTCAAATTTCGAAGGCCAGTGGGCCGGCCAAGAGGCCATTAAATATGGGGCTAGGAGATTGATTAGCCAATTATCGCGAAAGATATCGGACGTGTTATCTCAGGCTGTCTATGTAAACTATATTTAGCATACTGCATTATCATAAGTGCTCAAGCTATCTGAAGACTGCAGTTTAACTAAAATATAGGTTTACTCTCTCCTCTCTTATAGTAAACTATGATCTCTCTTTCATTTAGGATCATTAAGCTCTTTCATTAACTCTTATCATGTCTCAACTATCAGATATCTACTCAGTACCCCTTTCGGAGAGTGGCGAATTTGATAATTCATCCTATCTTTTTTCCGAAAGTATCGCGCCCGAACTTTCTACAAGCCAAATAACTTCCTTTCCTTTGCCTCTCTCTGTTCCCTCATCTCTCAAGCGCTCTACAGATCCAGCACAAACTTACGTTATATGCGAAGATATGAATAAAGAGCAATTCGCCGATTGGTGGATTCAGACACAGAGCGGGCACTCTGAGCATCAATCTACTTTCTGGGATCGAAAAGGCCAGCGAGCAGGTATATGGGCTGACTTCGAACAGGTTGCTCATTTTGTTACTGGGCAACCTAAGGTAATGTGTAAACACTGCGGAGCTATTTTAAATCATCCAAATTCTACAGTCCATATCAAAACAGGGACAACGGGGAAACAAGGAACGACTGCCCTACGGAGACACCTAGAACGGGTAATATGCAAAACAAAGGGTCATTCAAGCATCCGGAACCTATTACAGAAGCAGGCGAGTCCTTAGTTAGATTAACAGAGTTCTTAGATAATAGCTAACTTTTCTATTTATTAGGCAAAAACCGCACCAGAACCATTCAGTGAGACTCGTTGGGAACACCAATTAATCTCTACAATTACTACCTTACGGCTTCCCTTTGCGACTGTCGAACACCCTGAATTTCTTAAGCTTCTATAACTAGCTCAGAAAGCGCCAATTGCTATAAGCCTTCCCTCTCGAAGAACATTACAACGTCGGATTCAAACAAAAGCACAAGATCAGCAGAAAGAGATACTTCGGAAGCTCCCGCCAAAGGCAAAGCTCTCAATAAGCTTAGATTGTTGGACTTCTCCCTTCCAACAGGCCTTTATGGCAGTGTCTGGCTATTTTATCGATACTGATTGGGAATATCGGGAAGTTTTACTAGGCTTTGAGCCTCTCACAGGTATTCATACTGGGGCTTATTTAAGTACAGTAGGACTGAATCTGGTCGAAAAATATGAGATTAAAGGGCCAATATTAGCCGTTACAACTGATAATGCGTCTAATAATTTGACTCTTATCTCATCTCTGCAAGACTCTCTCCAATCTCAGGGCCTAGGATCTGATACTCTTCTTATCCGAGTGCCATGCCTTGCTCATGTGATCCAGTTAAGCCTAAAGCAGCTTCTTGGTCAACTGAAAGCCAATCCAATGAATGAGAATATCGACACAGTCTGGTCTGAAGAGCATACGAAAATAGCTCGCTAAACGGTAAGAGAGTATAGTATGGCAAATACATTAAAAAATGTTTGATCCTATTACTATTCCTTTTATCTATCGAATGAATACTAATTATACAATCTTTTACTAAGATCCGAAACCTCGCTATCTTTATTAATGCAAGTCCTCAACGCCGCGAATCCTTTCAAAACCTTCAGTCAAATACAACTTTATTCCCAATTCAAGACGTACAGACACGCTGGAAATCGACATTCTTAATGCTCCGCCGGGCTAAGAAGCTACAATCTATCTTTGATACTTTCTGCTCTGAATTTCATCGCACTCATCTTCAGATTACATTAGATGAGTGGCAGCAGATTGATTACTTGATCTGTATCACTTAGCCTTTCTACAAATTTATCACTGCTCTCTCAAAGACTAAAGATGTGACTATTCATACTGTTTTCAGTATTTATAATCGTCTTTTTGATCATCTAGAGAACCGCATTCGCCAGTTACAACGGAAGAAGATCGGATGGAAACAACAAATGCTTGAAGCTCTAAGATCAGCTAAAAGTAAGCTCAGAGACTACTACACGATAACTGACCCTGAGGGTCTCGGTGATATATATTCAACTGGGACTATTTCGGCGCCGCAGTATAAACTTGAATTCTTCCAAACCCCAGATTGGCAGGATGATCAAAAAGACTTTGCTGCTCAATACAAACAAAGTCTCGAAGACCGAATAACACACTACGAAAATAGTGTTTATAATTCTCTCTCCCGGACTAGAGGTATACAAAACGCGAAACCTACGAGTGAGATTGATTTACTACTCGCTTATGATAGTCGGCCTACTGCACCAGTCTCTGAGCTCACTCAGTATCTCAAGAGTGGTAAGTAGTTCTCTTATTATATATTCTTAAATCAAAGACTCTTTCTAATCTTAAATCATTAAATAGGTACAGTATTAATACCCCCGCGCGAATTCTGGAGAGATCATAAGTACAGATTTCCAGTGCTTGCAGCTCTCGCTCGAGATATCCTTTCTGTTCCAGCTACAGGCGCAGGCGTAGAGCGTCTCTTTAACTCTGCGCGTAATATCTGCCACTATCGCCGTGGCTCACTACAATCGAGTACTATCCAGGACCTAATGCTTCTTATGTGTGGTATTCGATTTGATCTAGAAGAGGAGCAGCTTGCTTTCGTTCGAGAGTACGCAAGTGAATCTGAGAGAGAGCTCCAAGAAGAAGAAATGAATGAGCGTACGCAAGATGATATTATAGAGATTAGTGACAATAAGGAGGGCCTTTCGCAATATCATTTGAAGAGGCGAAAGAGTATTGAGCCTGAAGACGAGCCTGAGAACGAGCCTGAAGAGGAGCCTACGTGTGAAGAGGAGCCTGATTTGCCCGAGCAAAATATACAGCGGGTTTCAGGAAGAGTTCGAAGGCGTTCAAGGTTATTAGATGGATATGAGATAGTTTATTTTTGCAGTAATATTAAAATACTCTCTTTCAACTGAATTATACTTATTCTTGTTACAAGGCATTACAGCCAAGAGTTCGCCTAAATTGCATAAATTATGAAAGCCACATGCACACTAATTTTTGCCCTAAAATGGGTCAAATGGGCCAAATGGGCAGAAAATCGATTTTTCGGCCCATGGTCCTAAATGGCTTGACCCATTTGGGCCGGCCCATGGGTTCTGCCCAGGTCTAAATATAATGAACTTATTATCTTTAAAGTAAATGCGTTATTTTAAGCCTATATAAATAAAATTTACGTTTTAATTACAATTAAGTATATAAATTTAATCTTTATTGTTATAAAACTTTAAAACAATTACCTACATTTTACTTTATCATACGTATTATAATATTTTGCTGTATTTAATTTAGAAATTTAACTATATTAATTATTTATAACATACCCGGGATATTTTAATTAACCCTAAATAATTGAATTTTTTAAGTTACTAGCTGCTTACCTTATTTTTTTTAAAAAAAGTCCTAATAAAAATTATAGAAAAAAGAGAAGTAATTAAGGTATAACTAAAAAAGATTAGTGGGATTAAATCCTATTAAAAGAAGATTATAAAGGAAATATAAAAAAATTAAAATCTGACAAAACAGTAATATAGGTTCCGAATATTAATAATTTAGAATATCGATTATGGGCACGCCTTGAGGGAATAACTAATAAATATTAATATTTTAATTAATAATTGTTCCTAACAATATATTCAAGGACTTTATATTCAAGGACTTTATATAATATGAAATTAAAGAGAGTTACGGCAGGCTTAATTAAGTAAAATATATGAGTTACGAAAGCTTGTAAATTACAGGATAATTGAAATAATAGGTAATATTAGGGTCTTATTAGCTATTGGCCTATTTCCCCATGGGTACGATAGTTAAAGAAATATATAATAATAATAATAATGTTGTTACTCCGTTGGGCCTTTAGCCATCCGGTCTATCTCGCTATCTAGGAGAGAAAACCGTGTAGGACCGAAGGGCTTACGGGTAAAGAATAGATATAAATTGATTAAAGCTGTTTAAATACTCTATAATTATAAAAAGGCTAGAAGATAAATATCACACCTAATAATTAAATTTCCTTTTAAAGTTAAGTTAAAATTAAAAAATACGGCTGCAAATATCTTATCAAAATTTACAAAAAGTTTTCTAAATCAGAATATAAAACATTAGACTGTCTTAAAACTAAAATAGTTAAAAGGGTATTTTACCCCAATAAGCCACTAAATAAAAATGAAAATCTAGACTAAATATTTAACAAATTACCAAACAAGAAATATTTGCTAAAACGTATTTCACGCGTGATCCGGCCACCCCCCCTAAATCTCTCCGCTTCAACCAACGCGTCTACTTTGCCCAACCACCATGCCACGAAAAAAACGGATTACGCTCTAAAAGAATGGAACAAGAGGGTAGGATCTAACTTGCAATCCAAGCTTTTATAAATCGCGAGATTCTTTCAATATGTGCGGTAGCGAAAACTTTCGATATACCGCGTGATACATTGCAAAACCGATTAAGAGGTAGCAAATTTCAACAAGAATAACGCAACCACAACTTCCGGCTATCTCAAACTCAGGAGGATCATTTAGTGCAATAGATAGTATCCAGGGATACCCGTGGCTGCCCCCCTAGGCATAATCACGTATGAGAAATGACGAATTTGATCTTCCGAACTGCATCTAATACCCTCCTAAACCTATCAGGTCAAACTGGGTTACCGACAGGCGCCTAGAGCTCAAGTCTAGGTTCTCTAGATGCTATAATTATTCCTGCGCTTTATGTGAAGATCCTAAGATTACTGGGGAGTTCTTTAGTCAACTGCAGAAGATCTGTACGGACAACGGGATCCTAACTGAAGATATCTATAACTTTGATGAAACAGTATTTTCTATGGGATTAGTGGCAACTACTAAAGTTGTTACTAGGTGCGAAATGCCTGGAAAGCCATGGCTTATTCAGCCAGGAAATCGAGAATGGGCAAAGACAATTGAATGTGTTAACGCCAGGGGATTCGCATTACTGACTACTATTGTTTTTAAAGGCAAGATGCCAATCGAGGGATAGTATAGCGGTAGCCTTCCAGAGGATTAACGTATTGAATTATTATCAAACGGATGGAAACCGATAAAATAAGCTTGAGATAACTTTAAAAGACTCTTATTCCTACTATAACTGGGCGTACGGTTGGCCGATATCGATTGCTAGTCTTAAACAGCTTTGGAAGTCATTTAATACCTAAATTTGATGCAATCTGCAAGGAAAATAACATTATTCCTATATGTATGCTTCCTCATTTATCTCATCTCTTACAACCCCTGGATGTTGGTTGCTTTGGACCTTTAAAAAAAGGCATACGGGAGATCTGTTGAGCATTGATCTTATCTCGGTAAACACTATATCGACAAATTCGATTTCTTAGAGGCCTTCCCTGCGGCCCAGCGAGCCAGTTTATCTCCTCAGAATATTCAGAATGGCTTTATAGCAACAGGAATAGCCCCTTTTGATCCTCAACGCGTGCTTGATAAGCTTAATACAAGAGTTTTGACCCCGGACCCCCCTACGGGGACTCGATCTTCTACTACTTCCTCGCTTACTATACCTCGCACGATTCGCCAGCTGCGCCGGAAGGCCTCTACGCTTCGCAGTAATACACGAAATCTAGTTTTTAGCGTGCTTGAGGTATCAATCGCGCGTCTAGAGCAGTTAGAAAGGGGCTTTGAAATGTCCCTATACAGCACGCATTTTATGGCTCAAGAAAACTGCCTTCTACGCTAGGAAGTTGCTCGTCAGCAGCTTAAAAAAAAGCGATCTAGACGTCAAATGTTACCTAATCTAGGTGCTACAGTGCAGGAAGCAAGGAATTCAATTGCATTGAGAAATGAGCAGTTGAATACTACAGACCGCCCTCTTAGCAATACTGTCCCGGAGGCTTCCTCTGCACCAAGAAGGCGTCCACCGACGTGTTCTAATTGCAATACTCCAGGTCATACTAGAATTAGATGTCCTGTATCTAGAGATAATTGAATTATTTTCTAATTCGTTAGATTGGGTTGTTGGGAATAGATTCAATTTGATCGAGCGTATCGGAACTCAGTGAGGTAGCCGGATCACGCGTGGTGGCCGGATCACCCGTGAAGTACGTTATTAGTATTAGTTATTTTATTAAGACTAAATTATATCCAATTAATAGACTGCCTTCTGTAGACCAATTATATTATAATTGACTTTAACGAAGAAATAATTAGTATAAGAATTAGATAAATTTTTATAAAATAAACTTATAGTTTCTTAAAAAAGCATTCTTTATATTTGATTACTTAATATAAGTTATTAATAAATTTTTATTACGCATCCAAAATTAACTAAAGTTTTTGCAAACCTACGCTTGTTAGACCGTTAATGGTCGGTCATCCTTAATCAGCAATCGTACTTAATCCCGGCCGCTTCAGCGGACCTTTTAAATCCTAACTCTTTTACTTATCTTAAATTATTATATAAGGAGTAAATAAATAGTAATACATCCCCCTTTTATTGTCCTTTTTACATTTTTATTTAGATTTTATCGAATGAAAAATTCCTGATTTATTATTTCGTTTTATAAACTTATATTCTTTATTTTAATCGTCTAATATATTCTATTGGATCCTTTCAATTGCTAAATCCAATTATTATAATAATTTTAATCTAATCGTTTATTATTCTACTAATCCATTTCATCTAGAGCTTAATTTCTCTAATTTAACTGATTTACTATCTTTACCCGTTTTTAGTTTATTAAACGTTAAGACCTTCATTAATCTTTTTTTTAACTTGTATTTTATCTTTACCCGCCTTAGCGCTAAGGCTTTCGCCGAAATTATCGTAAAGATCGTTAATTTCGTATTATATTTAGTTTTTAAATTAATTAGATATCAGATTAGCGTCTTCTCAAACTTATACATTAAATTAACATTTTCTATCATCTATCAGAGTTATAGCTAATCATTAAACTTAAAAGTATTTACTATCTAGCGTACTCGATATATAGCCGTAATAGAAATATTACTAGTATCTATATAGGGAGTTGATCCTGCCACACCCCCCACGAACCAATAAGGGTTAATTCCGCCCTACATACCATCACGTGACCTTCGTGGCCCAGTGGTTTTCCGTGTCACGTGATGGGCGATAACGAGAACAATACATTACACGATACTACATCCAGTAGATCATATAATCATTCATACAGAGTCATAAAGCCTTGCTTAGAGGTCATAAAGGCGTGATTTCGTCAAGACATAAGGTCGTAGATTCAGTAATACTCGAACTGACTGTCCTGCTTGGACCGCCGAGTACAACCACTGCGTGTCTGCGCTGGGGCAGTAGTTAAAACATCAGGAGAGGATGGTGCAGGCGGAAGAGAGGAAAAAATAAGAGCAGACGAAGCAAGAGGTAATAGAGATGATAGTATAGCTTCTTCTTGTACTTTCCTAGGGCGTCTCGTAACCTTGTGTTAAACTAATACCCGTTCAAATGCAGATAGCTCACGTGAAGACAACGAGTTGGTAGATACATTATTTGGCCTATTAGAGCGTCTTAGTGGCTCGTCCGTTGAATTCTGAAGATCTGACCCTGAAGGAGTTGAGGATGGTATCTTATTTAGTGAGCCGGCTGGCCGTCCTCGAACGGACTGAACTATCCAGGGTTCCAGTACAATTGTACGAGGATCCGGGGGAGGTATCAGCAGCAGGATACAGATACCACTGCGGATGGAAGTGGCTGACTGATAGGGATTTCTGATGCTTCATATGGTCTTCAATAATGTGGATACATGGGATTCCCTGTGTTGCTTGGGTGTTACCCGTACAAGCCTCTGGTATAGGCAATTTCTTGTCCCCCCGTAGCAGGAATTTGTCATAAATTGATAATACCTTATAAAGGGCAAATTGGGAGATTCGTGTAAGGACGTTACCAAAAAGAGATGACCGGAGCATTCTAAGTGGCTTTTCAATATTTTCATGGTCTATCTGTATTTGGCAGAGGTTGTGCTGGTGGCAGATTGATCTCTCGAATGACTGGATAACGTAAAGATAGTCAGCAATTGAGGTGCCTAGATCTTTCTTTAGGCGCCAGTGGGACGCCTCTCCACGTGAGGTTGAGCGCATATCAAGGTGGAAGAAGTTATTGGTAAAACACTCTAGAATTTGAGGTTTTGTATCCTCATTAAGCCACTCCTTCTCGATGTAGGCAAGCAAAGGCTGAAAGATCTCGTTATCATACTTATCTTTAAAAGCCTGCCAGCATGTCATTGCGTCACTATGTGTAGGGGCCTGGATAACCGTCATAAACTTAGGAAGCATCTTTTTCAAACGATCCTCGGTATCCTTATTAAGCTGCTCATTTGTGTCCTTATCCTTGGGGTCTGGGGCTGTTGGGAGGGACTGGATTAGCTCCTTATGAAGCAAGGGACGGGCTTTTGTATGAATATTATTCATGACATGCCAAAGACAGATCATGTGGTCAGCCGAGGGAAAGACCTTCTGGCATGCGTTAATTAAAGCACGCTCTTTGTCAGTTAGAATAGTCCGTGGTAGAGAGAGCTTGAGGTGTTCATAGACAGCCTTTAGATTGGTCAACGCAAAATTGTATGAAGGCTCTTTTTCGTTATACATAAAAACGAAGCCAACAAAGTATGTAGTTCCTATAGACGTAACCCCATTGATATCCAACATCGGCATCTTGTAGTTATTCGTTTTGTAGGTACAGTCCATGATGAGAACGTACGAATGGTCACGAAGAAGCTTAAGACATGAACGATGGATGCAGAAAAGACCGATAAGATGATTATCTGCATCTACAGCATGGTTGAACAGCCAGCTATCGTCTTTTGGAAGGCCCATTAGCAGTGCTTAGATTGGTGACCGGCCATCAAGGAACTTGTAGTACAAATTCTGGCGTAAGTTGTAGATATCACGTGAAATGAGACAGTTTACTTGATTCTGTCTAGCTGTATAAAGAATCTGGCGTAGTTAGATCCTAGCATTAAGCTGTTGTTGTATTGTTTCTGACTGTTTATCCAGCTCAATCTTCCGCAGAGAAGGATGTGTTTGAAGAGGTGAGGAAACATAATTATAATTCGGGTTTGTGACTTCAATTCTCCAAGTAGAAGACTCTGGATCTCGCTGAATAATCGTACGGAATGGACAATTAATTAGACGAGTACTGCACTGCCGGGAACGCTTTGCTTCATTGATTCTAACTCGATAATTTCCGCCACGATTGCATTGTAGATAACGTGCTGTAATCTCGTTGTCTTTCGAGCACGCTTAGAATTCTTTGTAGTCAGCGCATAGCCATGTTCTTTTGTAAATCTGTTGATGAAGGTCATGGCATCTCTCTCATTGGAAAATACGCGATCAGTCGGGGGAGAAGGAAGAGAAGATGAAGATAATTCAGAGGTAGTAATAGTGAGAGGAGCAGCTGGAGTGTCCGACGCATCTGGCAGACCGTCTTCAGGGACGATCAGGGAATTAGCAGTATCGAACAGGCCTAACGACCTTGCAAGGAGCCAATCAGCGCTGTCATCTATAGTGTCTGATTCCATGACGATGATGACGCTTTATCAGACGGACGCGTTGGTGTTAAGGTAGGTAAGTAAGTAGGTTGGTAGGAGTCGTGGCCAACCGATGTCAGACTTCATACAAGCCCTGAGAAAAAGCCCTGGCGCTAGTCCATATTAGGAAGGGGTGTGGCACGAGCGAGGCGGGTGTGGCAGGATCAACTCCCTCTATTTAACACGTTAACTTTATCTTTCCTGCAGATCCATTGAATTATCCCAGGAGATGCCCTATAATGGTCTGAAAACTGGGATAACCGACTTTTTGACATAGTGATAAGAATAAGGGGAATAGGGAATATAGGAGAATAGAGAAACTTAGAGAGACTTAGAGAGTCTGAAAGACTTTTAATTTTATCTGGGTTTTGGACTTGTAGAAAAGAAAATCGAGAGGGGCCTTACTCTAAGGCGATAAGTTAGCTTTTAGCCAACATAATATAATGCTTGGACCGCAATAGGATTCAGGACCGCGTAAACCTGTAAATGCCTCTTTTCATAGTAGATAGTCAAACATCAGGCTATCAGCAGAATTCTAGCCTCGTAACTATTTATTGATAAGAATAATTAAGAAATCAAGCAATTATTTTATAAGCTTTCTTACTGAATCACTATAAAGTCTTTTTTGCTACTTTTTTTTAGGAGGACTTGGAGCGATTGTAGCAAGCTACATGTTGAGAAAATATATATTTCCCAGTCGAGTTGTATACCTAATCATATTCACGAAGAATACTGACCATAATCACATAAATATGCTATAAGAAAATTAAAATCTGTTATTATAATATATATTGTTAATATATACATAACGATTTCACATTATTTCATTCGTAGTAATACATTTTCTCGTGGAGTTAGAAGAGAGTCAAGACCAAAACAGTGTTTAATAACGGTAAGAAGAAAGGATGAATCATCAAATTATACAGCCGAAAAGAGCAATTCTTAGCAAAATTATGCATTTGCGGTCTTTAGTAAGTTCAAAAAGGACCAAAGACCGCACCATTCCGAGGCTTAGCTACCAGGCATACCGAAAAACCCAAAAATGTAATATTTATTAAATTTCCACGCACCTAAAAATACCAACTAATAGAATAATCGATAAAATAACTAAACAAATCACCCAAAAAATTGGTTCTTTTAAAATTTTCTGCGACTAACTTCAACTCCCTAAAATATCTATATTTTATCGTTAAACCCTAAATTAAACAATACACCGAAGAAAAGTAAAAAATAACTAATAACATATAGACTATAATAACTATTTTTAGTAGTAATTCCTGAAGTTTAATCTTTAAAGTAAAACTTTATAACAATATTATAGAAATCTTTTTACCCCAAAATAAATGTATTATTCTAAATTTATATAAATAAAATAAAATTTAATGATATTCTTACTATAATTAAACGCGCGGATAACCCACTATCTCCCTATAAACAGATCCTAAAAATAATAACTTACATGATTGACTGTAATCACTATAAAAACCTTAAGGGTTAAACGTTGAAAACCTAATTATATCAATCATTTTCATTTATAACATATCTAGGATACCCTAACCGATCCTAAATACGTACCGCAAATAGTAAAATCCTTATTAATTACTAAATAGCTCCCTTATTTACAGAAAGGGGCCCGATTTTAGGTTATATAAAAAGAAAGAAATAGATAATGTATTTAAAGTCAGCGGGGCGAAAGCTTTATTAAAGGAAAATTACAAAAGAAATAGAAAAAAATATTAGGTTAAAATAAAAAATCGAAATTATCCCAGCGCAGGGGTAGCAGTGGGGTCTAAAATTACAGTAACTTTAAATAATAATTAAAAGAAATGTATTTTAACAAAGTTTTTATTGAATAATTTTTCTTTTTTAAATACTTATAACTCTATCATTGCAATCGGCCATTTAAATCGACTATTTTATTTATAATATTATAACTAGTTAGCGATATACTTAAGAACTCTTTAAACGATATTATTGCTATAAAAAGCCTCTGCAGGTTTAATGAGGTAAAATATAAGAGCTAAAAAAGCTTATAAATTTTTACGTAAATTCAATAGCTGATATATACGTAAATATAACAATTGAAGATATATATCTGCGCGATTAGAATCTATAAAGGTCAACTGAAGCTTCAATAATTCTATAAAAATAACTTAACGTATTATGCTGCAACCGCAAATTCCAGCATGGCCCCGTACGGGTGCCAAGATGGAGGATAATGGAATCAATCAATCAATCAATCAGTCTATTAGTATAATAATTAGTAAGGATCAAGATATTTAAGACCGTCTACTGCAGATGGGTGCGGGTGGTAGAGGAAACTGCAGATACTATATATGTAGGTTGTCTGGAATACGGAGTCGGTAACAATATTCTATGATACGGATATAATAATAGATAAATAAATATATGGGAAATTTGGAGACTACTAAGAACTATATTATATTAAAGTAAAAGTTTTAGATTATCTGCCTTTTTAGACTTACGTTTTAGTCTTTATATTTAATAAATTTCAACTGATTTATTGTTATTGCCCAGTTAAGCTTACCCTACATAAAAAAAAAAAAAAACTTTACCTATTTTTATTTTAGTTCTTACTCCTATAATATAGTACCCTAAATAAAATATATAGTTACAAAATATTTTTAAAATATATATCTAATAAGAAAGAGAACAACTTTAATTGAGACTTACAGTTAAACTCATTTATTTTAGTCTTCAGTAATATATTTAGAGCTTAAGTATTCCAAATATCTAGTGTTGGGCCGCTTATCCTTCCTACTGTAGTTTAGTGTGTCACCTGATCCGCACAGTAGATAGTTCTCTCGCAGCTACGCTGCATCCTGAGGAATTCAAGCATCTTTCTCATCTTCATCGCACCGCGATCCTGAAAGTTACTATTTATTATATTTCAAATTTTTTTTTTTAAAAAAAGGCTTTTTTTATTAATTATTATAATCGATTTGGGTTTTAATTGCGAGGTATTGGAACTTTAAAGCGAAAGTATAATAGTTCTTATAAAGGGAAGCGCTAAGACACCCCTCGTGACCAGGTGGCTTAGTCAGCCGTAGGTGCCGGCGCTGCGCTGCGCGCAGGTAGACCTCACTACTTTCATCCCACGTTACATACATATTTCAATGTAAGATACAACTACCATACTCGCCACTATCAATTCAACAGCAGTTTTATTATCTTTCCTACTTTACCGGCCGCTTACCTCGTCTACTTACCTCGTCCGCTTGCTGATCACCAAGCGGCCTTCTCCCTTTCTGAATAACTACATTATATGATCCGGCCTAGCTACGTCAGGCCTAGTCAGGGACCAGGGCTCAGGTCTAGGGGCATACCTGTCTCACTCTACCACCTTGAGCGACCACTGTTACGGGGTCGGTAGGTAGGTGCACTTCTACCACCTTTATAAAACCTGTCACGGGCTTGGCAGTGGGTAGGTGCGCTTCTACCCGCCAAGACCGTTTAGTAGGCCCGTTGGATGTTTTACCAACTGAGCTACTAAAAAGACCAGAATACCAAGTCAACGACTTGGTACGTGCATCGCTCTATATAGTGGTTCTTGGTCAGTTTGCCAAAGGGATTACGGGGAAATCGGAGTTTTCAGTATTTTTTTTTTATATTAATTTTCATAGGATTAAAAATAATTTTTCTCTTTCCTAAAAAGGAAATAAGCTCTGAAGATTTTTAACACATTTTTGAATGATTCAGCGTGGGATTGTTAGCTATCCGGTCTTGGTGGTGGTGGTGAGGTCCCTACCTGTTAGTTATATTTTACGGCCGCAGTTCACCGCCTAAGCATGTGTCCCGCCGTCCCCTGTTGGGGCAAAGGCCGCCAGGGGGTAAGCCCTGGGTGTCTGTAGCTATCTGTGCTCTAATACATATAAAGAGACTCTTTGGCGCGTTTAGATAGCTGCTGTAATCAAAAAGATAGTCTATACTAAAATTCTTCCCAAACAAAACCCTATACTAGGTCCCTAATCCCGCGGTGTTGCAGTTCCTTAAGATTACCACTCCCTCAAGTATATCAGATTTTGATAGTATAGAGGGAAAAACAACCCAAACCCAGAAGAGAAAAGGAAAAAGAAACCTCCACAAGTATAAATAGTTGTAAGTTAGAAAAGTAATAATAATCCTACTCTTAAGAAGCTCCAAGGAACAGTGTTATTGAGGTTTCCCAAAAGAAATCTGTATTGTCGTAACTTACGCAGAGCGGAAGTCGTAGGCCCGTAAACTAATAGAAAGAAAGGTAAAAGCCGTACGGCTAGCCGGTAAAAAAAGTGAGACAACAATCGAAAGGCATCAGTATCTGTTTATGGAAGGCTAGCTCTCCCATGTTTGGCGCAAAGCGTTCGATCGGCTTGGGTCCGGGGTCACTGTGGCAATCAAGTCTATATCCCCAAGGGATGGTAGGTTCACAAGGACCCTAGAGTGGTCGCTCTGCTCTTGGCCATTGCTACTTGGGTAATGTTACCAGGCTGCACCACGAGGTGGCAGAGTCGGACTTCGCAGCCCGAGGTCCCCACCTGCGCGCTGTGCAGCGCCGGCACCGGCGCCTGACTAAGCCACCTGGTCACGTGGGGGTGTGTCTGTAGCGCTTCCCTACCGTATATAGCTCGATCGCTCAACTTTTAAGCTTAATTATAATTATTTTTTTCATTTTAGGCCTTAATAAGCCTCGATCTACATCAGTTCTATTAATTTTTAATTAAAAGTTTAATAATCTGTTCACTTCCCGACTTAAAAAAGTTACTATATTATAACCAATAAAATTAGTTTTCAATTCTAAACTAATTAATTGGGGTAAACTAATTTAGTATCTTTAAAGTTTACTATGGTAAATATTTCGGCCACTATATTAAATTCTAGACAGCTAACAGAAACTTTAGATACTATTACAATTAATTTCCGAGCAACGTAAAATATTTTAAATCAGATTCTCACCAGTCAAAAAACTATAAAATAAGATTTTAAAGTACGCA